GGTGATGGCGTCCACTCAGGAAGAACAGTGCCTCTATCTAGAGCCTCCACATGCTGCTTTGTGCTAATAATAGTCTAGAGGCATCCTTGGGGAATAATATCTACAGCATGGTCAGTTGGAGTCATGGAATTTCCTGCTCAGAATTATATTCCCTGGTGAAATCCAGAGAAACATTCTGCTCTAGATTCCATACCAACATTCAATATTAAAAGCTGAACCGATTGATGAGATGCTTGTGCCTCCATGGAGAGAAAAATGCAGACTGCATGAAGTCAAGTCTTCCAAACATGTTCTAAATGAGAGGCCCCTTCTTCCTCTTCACCCCTTCTGGACTGTTCCTCCATGCCCATCCCTCTCTCTACGCCCTTCACCATTCCTCCATGCCCATGTGTATGGAAGTAGGAGGTGGAGCTATAACCAATTGCTTTTCTTTCTAACAAATATGGAGGGAGAAATGAAAGAGAGCTGGACAAGGGCTGCGACTGTGTGCAGAGCATTAACCCTTGTCCCTGGGTGAAGAGAATGTGCCCCACACTTGCTGGAGTCACACTTGAGGCTCAACAGTAACAGGCCACATGGCAAGAACAACAGGAGCAGTTGAACAGCAAATGTCCCATGGCATTATCAATTATTATTCCACCCATTTGAAGCTTTCTATTTCTGCTTCTTATAAAAGATCTGCTGGAGTAGAGCTCTCTAATTGTTGCCAGTTGGCAGAATAGAGGATACACGGAGATAGGCAAGTGTGTCATTCAATTTGTCAGGATTCAGGTCTCTACCTGTGGGCAGACATGGAAAATGCGGGTAGTTAAGTCATCCAGGTGAAATCTTAATCATCGTACTCTTGGTCTTTTTATTTGAGCTTCTGGCCAAAACAAACATGACAAGATGAGAATGTGAATCAAAGGGTGTGGCCAAGAAGAGGGAGGTGCTAGAAGTTCTGTTTTAAATTTCTACAGTTAGAAGTTACTTAACTCAGCCACAATCTTTTGCTAAAGGAAACACTTTCCAATTTTGCTCCCGCAGAAGAAAATAAGGTATTGTAAATATTTATTTGTTTAACATTTGTTTACGTTTTTCTTCTTTGTTTCATTGACTGATTAAATAACAAATGATTGGGGTGACTGCCAGACAGAAATAATAATAGTTCTACCCTTTCCCAAGAATTCAAGGGTTCTGTGTAATTATAATGGATGGATTTAATGGGCAGATCTGAACGTGATGTAAAGTTTTACTAGAAAGAGGGCTAATTTCCAAAGAAGTTAGAGAAATTATTTTACCAGGAACCATGAAACTATGAATGGAGTTTCTTCCAGTCCTGTTCCCTGACTTGCTATTAGTGTAGGCAAAGAGGCACAGAATATTATCTGAATTATTGAGCCAAAACCCTCCTAATCTTCGTAAGAGTGGACTTGACAATATTAATTTGATCCCAGTCATTAAAGGGTGAAATCAAATTCAAATCTCTACCCTGATCCCCACTCAACATTGCCTCCTCACCTTTCCATGAGTCATTAGCTTTCTTGTTTTCCATGGAAAAAATCTATCCCCCTAATCATTCACATTACACTCAGTCCTCACCACGAACACCCCAAATTATTACATCCCCTGGAGAAGAGCTTTAGGTAATATATCATGCTAGGAGGGAGGAGGTGACATTCCCTGATGTCAGAACCCCAAGATGGAGCAATATCATTGGTTTCCACGGGAGTCTGAGGCCTTGGGCATTCTCTGTGGAAAAGGGGATGAAAATCTTTCCCACTTTCTCCTTTTCATCATCATTTGTTTTCTTCTGTTCTTGCTCCGTCTTCACCCCACCTCTCTCTTTTACCAGGTGATTCTTAAAGACAGTGAGATACAAAGACAAAAACAACAGTATTCAGAATTCAGACAGGGATAGCAGTGCTGGTTCTGCTTTTAGCTTGCTGTGAATGTCAGTCAGCTCATTCAAACTCTCTGGGCCGTCATTTCTTTTTCTTTTTTTTTTTTAAATAATAAATTTTATTTTTATATTCCCCATACAATTGCAACCCCCCCATTCTGACCCCAATCCCTCCCCTCCCACCCCCCACCCCCCAAAAAGTGTCTCTGGTTCATAGTTTTTTGTTGATTTTGATTTTCACTTTCTTATAGTTATTCATTTTCCTGGTCCCTTATTTAAGTTTTCTAGATTCCTGCTATGAGTGAGACCATCCGGTATTTTTCTTTTTCTTTTTGGCTTATTTCGCTGAGCATGATCCCTTCCAGCGCCATCCATGTTGCTGCAAATTGCATGTGTTTATCTTTTTTGAATGCTGAGTAATATTCCATGGTATATATGTACCACATCTTCTTGATCCAGTCATCTATTTTTGGGCATTTGGGCTGTTTCCAAAGCTTAGCTATTGTAAACAGTGCTGCTATAAACATAGGGGTGCAGGTGTTCTTTGGAATTGATGTTTCTGTGTCCTTTGGGTAAATACCTAGGAGTGGAATTGCTGGATCATATGATCCAGCAATTCTCTGGGCCGTCATTTCTTAACAAACAAAACGTTGGAGCTGTACTAGGTTGGACGGTCCCTCAAGGTCCTTTTGACTTTGTGCTAGGAGTACCTGGAGCTCTGAAACTTGATGAGTGACCATCCTTTTCTCTCTTTCTAGTTCTCTTCAGCTCCTCCCTTAAGCTCATTTATAGACTGAGATACCAGTTTACATATATATGTTTATAGCGCCTGGAAACTGCAAATGAGCAATTCATTCTGAAAATGGCACAGTGATTCAGACCTAGACATTATAGTCTTCTCTGAAAAGACCTTTGTTCATTTCTCTATGGGTAAATTATTTACTATAGAGTCTCTTCCCAAAATTCTGCATTCTTTGGAAGGTAAGTGGGATTAGATTAGGCCATGAAGGTGGTCTTGGATGTAGCTAGAGCAAGTTCATTTCAGGGTAGGATTAAATTTTACCTATGACTGCTTTAGCACTTCTACCAACTTCTTTAAAAATGTGAAAGGGAGGAATGGTTCTTCTTGCCTGTTCTGGGCTACACCTAATATATTAATGATGATATTTAATGAGAGAATTATTGAGGCTGGAGATAACTGGATTTAATTTCCCACAAGGAATTTGTTCCTTCATTAGAGAGGATTGTTGTTTCAGGAATTTGTCACAATTAACTTAACTTTAGAATAACCACGAACTGTAAGTAAAATATAAAAATTCCAGGCCCTGTGATATAACTTTCTTCACCCCACCTGGTGAATAGCCTCCGCCATGGACTCACGCATTTTCCATTTGAATGAGACTCCTGAGTTCTAAAGAGACAAAGCTTAATTATGGGCAGTAAAGAAAACATTATTTAAATGACTATGGTTCTAAAGTCAATAGAGAGGTTGTTTGCAAGAGGACTTTGCATCTGCTGAGAAAGAATACTCAGGCAAGTTTCACATATTACATGAGGGTCTAGAATTACTGCAAAACTAGAGTTACTGCGTTTTTCTGCAATCAAATAATATTAGTCTGAATTACCATCAGTTTTTGGATTAGACAGCAGCACGATTTAGATACTGGGAAGTTGGGTATGTGTAGGCAAGACCAGGAGGGATTACAAAAGTATCACTGTGAATCCACATCATGATGAAACCAAATTCTGCCTGCACACGCCTCTCCCTGAGTCAACTCTTTGTGCCTCTCCCTTTGTTCAGCCACTTGACAGTGCTACCTCTTGACTTTGCTGAAGTTCATCATGGTCTTGGTTTCCCCTGGGCCAGGCAGTGCCAGCACAGAACTTGTTTCCTCAACACTGGCCCTGTGTAGGTGTCAGGCTTTGGAATTTTGTTTAAGTCATTTAACCAGTTTGAGAAATTATTTGGCTATAAAATGACAATAGATTTTTTTTTTGATTGACACCCAAGACTTAAACCCAAGACTTAAATTGAAATATCAGCTTAAGTAGATACGAAATTTAGAAGTTGAATTTAATAGCAGAAACCAAAAAACCAATAAAGCAAAACACCTGAGTTTGAGTTCTTTTGTTCAAGAAGATCAATTTCAGAGGGTCTCAAGTAAGTGAAAGTGAAGACTTCTCTACTTCTCCATGAATGTCCTCTAAATTACACATGATTTAAGTTTAAGCAAATTGAAAAATGGTGATAGAGCCCTAACAATGGCATTTAAGCAAGTAATCAACAAGTATTTAATAAATATCCGATTTTGTCAAAAGTCCTGAGGTAGGTGTGTTGGATGTGCCAAGCTGTACAAGGCAATTTTTCTCTCAAGGAACTGACCCTGGAATTGGAGAGAGACACATGAAAACACAAGTACCAGTGCGATGTGTCAAGCAAGTGACACAAGCTATGTTACGAGACTTTGGTAGCATGTATGCTTTTGTAGACCCAAAAGGTCAGGAAGGGCTTCAAGGAAAAGAGGAACTTGAAGAGGTGGGATTTCAATAGAACCAAGGGGGATAAAGGAATTCCAGGAACCACAAAGAGCATACAGCTAAGTAGGAAAAAATAAGGTTTAAAATGATAAAAACAGGGATGAAGATAAGTGAGAAAATGTGCACTGTTGAAAAGATGTACATTTATTTCTCATTTACTGTGTAAAGTCAGCAGGCCTGTGGCTTTTTGAGAAGAAATCCTGGGCAGAGAACTCACTGACTGGGATCCTGTGTTCCCTGGTGAGACTTAGCACTCAAACTGGAGGACTGTGAACTTCAGTTTTCTGCTATGTAAAATAATAATGTTGGAGGGAGTCCTGAAGTCCATTCAGCTCATACAAATATATCTACACATACAATGAGTTTACATATATGGAAAGATGGGTATATATCTATACATATGGACACACCACTATATACAGATATGTAATTATATTGGATATAATACATTTTTTGTCAGTTAAATAAAGTATGACTTAAAACAGATAATTGTGTAAGCTAATACATGCTTTTACAAGCATGAAGTAAATGGAAAGAGTTATTAACGTGCTCTCTGTTTCATTTTCCTTAGGATCCCTCAATGGACTCTCTAGCAAAATCAATCAACCAATTTGCCTTAGAGTTTAGCAAAAAGCTTGCTGAATCTGACAAGGGTAAAAATATCTTCTTTTCTCCCTGGAGCATCTCCACTGCCTTGGCCATGGTATACTTTGGCACCAGAGGGACTACGGCCTCCCAGATGGCACAGGTGAGTGGGAAGGGCAGTCATTCTCTCTCTGCCTTCAGATGAAGTGCTTTCTTTGCTTTTCATATTTATTTTTCTTCTGAAACCCAAGTAATCTCTATTTTTGCAACCATCACCTCCAAAACAAAAGAGAAACTTAAAATTTTTTTCTAGACCATACAAAGGAATCTGGAAAAGAGAACCCATTTGAAAACTGCTCCTAGAAATGCCAGTTAAGAATTTGTGTTCTCTGGCACAGTCAAATGGAGAGATAATTAACTTGTCGAGTTTGGTTCCACACAAAAAATAACTTTATTTTGATTATTAAAAAATTTCAAGAAGTTAATGACTCAAATTTTAAATAATAAAAGCAGTCAGCATCTCTCTCAGAGGATATTCATTTTTAAATATATTAATTTTTTAATTTTTTTTACATCAATGTTCATTTTTAAACAGTATTTGCTTCCCCCCACTGCCTCAGGTGTAGTACCCATAGAGTTTCCTTCACCTCTCAGGGGATATTCTTGAAGACACAAGAAACATCAAGTGAATTCTGTTTCCTGTGCATTTTGGGGCTCTTTTTTTGTTCAGTCTCTGAATAAATTTGAAGAATCCATCAGAGCATAAAAAGAGCAAAATAATATTATTGTATAAGAAAATATTGATTTGTTGTAAGCATCCCCAAAATGCAGTATGTGTAATAAATACAAATAAAAATAAGATAAATAAAATAAGATATACAATAAAATAACCATGTATATATGTGCAAGTGTAATTATATAAATACACTTTTTTTTAAAAAAAATTAAAAAACTCTAAAAAACTGAAAAGAGCAAATTGTTCAGCCAATGTAAGTTCAGGTGACAGAATTTCTACCCAAGTGGGTACTCTGTACACCAAGTGTGAAAATGGGGCCATTCAGTAGTTTTGAGTCAGACAGACAGAATATCTGTTCTGTTGGTTTGAACCTAGGAGATCACCCTTATTCTTGTAATTCACAAGGTATCCTGTGGTTAAAAACAAAATCCAATTCACAACTAGTGAAAAACAGTTAATGACGAAAAGACTTAACCATGAATGTGACAGACTTTATTCAAGAAGTTTCCTGATTTGGGTCCATTTCATAGAAATACTGCCAGGTGTTGTTTGCTCTCGTTTTATTAAATGTTCTTTAAATATTCATGGTTTCAGTTTGTAATTCCACAAACGGCTACAAACCCTTTTTATGGTAAGTGGCTCCCGGCTGTCCCATGGTCAGGGCGGCCTTTGGTAAACTATCATGCTCCTCATTGTGAGCTGAGACCCGGGTCTGGAGATGGCTTTAATATCTTGCTTTTGGCTGTTGCATAACTCAGGAAACAGAGCTGCCCACATCCTTCCTGTGAACTTGCATGTGGGCACAGAGAACATGTCAGCAGATGTCAAGCGGGGTAGACAGTGAGAGCTGAAGCACTTCCCAAGCAAAAATAACTCCAGTCCTGATTTTCCAGCTAACTGGGGCCACAGTGGCTTTTGCCTCAATTGTCCAAATGACACTCTCCATTGAACACCTGGCTCTCCTTCCATGTCAACAGTACGCAGAAATGAAACATGGAAAATATAAGCTTCTCTCTTCTCTGATGGTGGAGTGCCCAGTGCAGACCCTGCCTCCATCCTTAGACTCAAGGGCTTCCTTAGTGGGTCACCAGAGCCAGCATTTACTCCTCTGCCCAGTGCAGCCTTTGGCACATCTGAGAGGAGAGCAGGGGAGGGTGCCCAGAGACCAGAGAACAAGGAAACTGGAGAGAGAGCAAGAAACAAAATAACGCCACCTTGTGATTTCACAGTTGATGTCAAGCAGTGCTATCCTGCCCATATCCGGGTTTCTAAGTATATGGCCAACATCATCGTAAACATCCCACAAAAAGTGTTAAAATAAAGAGACTAACAACTTAAATTAGACTTTTAACAATCTATTTAAAAGCAGCTCTTGACTTACTGCATTAACTCAGCTGACTCACCGGAGCCCTCTTGGTAACTCATTGCATGTTCTGCAGCTTTAGGAAGGATTGACTTGTGTTAGTGGGTGTATGTTTGGGATGATCATCTGTCTGCAATTTATCTCTCATGATTTTTTTTTACTGAAATTACAGGTGCTTCAATTTAGCAGAGACCAGGACACCAAGACCGGTCCTGACAGTGAAAAGAAAAGGAAAATGGTATGTCTTACTTTTAATATCCATCTGGCGATTAAGGAGAAAGCACATTTAGTACATGCATTTTAGTGGTTGATTTAAGCAAACTTTAATGGGTGCTTTATCTGAGAAACGCATTAAAATCATGGAAACACTTCAAAATACAAATACTTTTTTTTTTAAATACAAATACTTTTTGGAAGGGCCATCTTCTTACCCTTTATGCTTCCCTCTTTTTTTCTTGCCTTTCAAAACTGCTCCAGTTTCAAAGTTGTATTTGCCTTTGCAAAATAAACATGAAGGAAAAAAATACCCTCAGTAACTTAACTTTTTGCATTCATAACATAAAGAAGATGTTTGATGTGTCTTTGACTCAAGTATAGTTCTTGCTCAGAATATACAAAATCATTTCATTTAGCTACAGGTTGTGTGTGTGTGTGTGTGTGTGTGTATGAGAGAGAGAAAGAGAGCGAGAGAGCACATGTGTGTGTCAATATTTGCTGAAAAAAGTATATATAACTCTTGATCAACATTTTTTTGACTAATCCTTTTTCTTTTCAAGGAATTCAGCTCAGGCAAGGCTGATGAAATACACTCTGATTTCCAGAAACTTATCTCAGAAATCAACAATTCCAGCAATGCCAACATACTTAAAACAGCCAATGGGATATACGGGGAGAAAAGTTACCCATTTCACAATGTGAGTGCAAACGTGTTATTTTAAGGGAAAAGGATGAGTCACATGAGCCCAATCAATAGCCTCTTTGTATATTTCTCTAGGAACAACAGGGAACTTTATGTGGTCACCCCTTCCGGTAAATCATCATGTAGACCAGACAATCAGTGTCTTCTTGAAAAGGAAAATGGGTCTCAACTCGGGTGTAGTGATCTGATCCTTATCCAGAACAAAAGGGTTCACCTCAGCAATCGCCTACGAGCACACACAGAATTTATGTAATCCTCGGGCCAGCCTGTGTTCACAGGACATGGAACCACAGTTGGAGAGAAGCTCAGTAGGGGAATTCCTGAGGAGCAGAGGGGGTGTTGGCCACAGGGTGTGACCGGACACTGCTGAAGCGTGACGCTGACTTTGGGCTTGGACAAGTCCCTTCACATCATGACTTAGAGGGGTTAGGAAAGGCTCTTCAAGCTTCTCCCTCCTCTGATGGTGGAGTGCCCAGTGCAGACCCTGCCTCTGTCCTCAGACTCAAGGGCTTCCTTAGTGGGTCACCAGAGCCAGCATTTACTCCTCTGCCCAGCACATCCTTTGGCACATCTCAGAGGAGAGCAGGGGAGGGTGCCCAGCAACCAGAGAGCAAGGAAACTGGAGAGATAGCAAGAGACAAGATAACGCCATCTTGTGATTTCACAGTTGATGTCAAGCAGTGCTATCCTGCCCATATGTGGGGAATTTTGGGAGGTCAGGAAATGGGCTTTGTTATTACTAAAAGCAGAAAAGCCACAAGAAGTCTTAAAGACATTTTTAACACTGAAAGTCTTACAAATTCTATCTGATTCAAAAGATGCAGAGCTGTTGAGCTGGGTGGGCACCTGGGAATGAGGACACAGGGATATTCAGTGACACATTTAAAAAATGTCCAGAAGCCCTGGATGTGCTCAGAGAGGTCAATCAGAGCCCATCATCAAACAGTGTCTGGTGTGCCCTGAGGCCTTCAGTTTTGACTAGATTATACATTCTACAGAACTTTGAATTCCTATCTTCAATCTTCCTTCCGCTGCCTGGAAGCTGAATTGATTCACCACTTTATAAACACACACATTTCCTGCAACACGTGAGCAAGCCACAGGAGCACCACAGCTGTCCTGGGGAATTAATTATGTTCCCAAGGGCTGTGTCCCCATAACCTCGGCTATGGTCCACTTAGGACAACTGCTGGGGAGACCATCAAGGGCTGGAAGAAGGAGGCCCAGATTTCCCCTTCAGAATGCCCAATGAAACCTTAGACCACGCTTCCACACCAACTTCCACAGTAGTATAGAGTTGCTTTGTTTTGTTTTGTCTTTGCTCAGTGACCCTGCCTGGGTCTGGGGTTACGTAGAGTCCATGGCCTCACTTCGGTGCCAAGTACATCTCCCACTGCCTCTCAGCACCCCAGTCCCTCGTGGATGCTGAGAGGGCTCTCCCTTTTCATGCAGCCCAGTTTCCCAGGAGTGGATACAGGTAGGAAGGGCTGTGGAAGCTCCGGGACTGTGGGAAGCAGATTTCCCTTCCACATGTAGAGTTCTGGGTGGCTTGTCAGCGCCCAGCTAAGTTTAAAGGGGGAAATGTTTAGTTTTTGATCAAGGTTGGAGATTGGAGAGAGAGAAGAGAGAAATGAGTTGGGAGCTTGCAATTGTCTCTCTGGTTTTTTTTTTTTTTTTTCAAATAATCTAAATAGACTTGATTTCTATTTTGGAGATATGGATTAACTCTACAAAAGTAAACTTTGCCTGTATCTTCCAGAAATATTTAGAAGACATGAAAACATACTTTGGTGCAGAACCACAATCTGTTAACTTTGTAGAAGATTCTGACCAAATCAGAAAGGACATCAACTCTTGGGTTGAGAGTCAGACCCAGGGTAAGCTTTCTCCAAGTATCATTTCATGATTTTGAATCCGTGTTAGCATACGTTTTATATATTTCTTAAATAGAACTATTATACATTTGGAATATTCGCATTTCTGCCTATGCATGTTTATTATTTTTAAATGTACATCTCTCTCAACAAGTCTTATCTAACATGTATGTCAAACCACCTACTAGTTTGCCTAGTAGACAAGAAAACAATCATATCCAGAATTCCCAAGAGGAGTCCACTGATAAAAAGCAGGAAAATGTATAAAGGATATAAGAAATACTGCTGCATTTGTGGTTTTCAGAGAAAACTAGCTACTAATTAATAACAAAACTGAAAACTTCAACATTCTAGGTGATCTGAAGTATTTTTCAAAGTAAGATCATGTGTATAAACCAGCAGCCATTGATGACCGAAGTGAAGTTTCTGAAGTTAAGGGGGTGGGGGGCGCGGTGGGAAAAGGATCAAGGGAGAAAAATGACCTGTTCGAGCCCAGACTTCACATGCTTGTATTTTCTTCTGTCTCGCATAAATTTAAGGGGGGAGCAGGAAGAGGTGGGAGGTGATCTGATGACAGTTCCAGAAGCATCTTGTTATCGTGTGGTGATGGTGATGGTGGGTGACCTTCCCCCCTAACCTGGCTCTGTGGTGTTGTGGTGCCATGAACAGTCCCCCATCCTGAAACACTGGCATGAATAGCTTTGCCACTGAAGAAATGAGGGCTTCTAATTTCTCCCTCAAGTCTCCTAAGTAGGAGAGGGAAATGCTGGGGCTTGTCAGCAAGGGTTCTGCATATTTGATGCACTCACCCCCAACCTCCCTCCCACCTACATGTGAGCCCAAACTTTCCCTCAAACCCAAAAGTGCTGGCTAAGCTTAGAAGTTCATGCTGAACTTGCACCCTATTCTCCCACATCTGTCTTTATTTTTATTGGAAAATCAAAAAGCAAGACGATGAGAACATATATTAGTTCAGGCACAGGCTAGGCTGCTATAACAAAGAGAACTAAAGTTTGGTGACTGAATACCAAGATAGAAATGGCTCTTTCTCTCCCAGAGTAGTGCAAACATAGGTCAGTGTCTTGTCCCACTAGGATGTCCAAAGGTCCAGGCGAGGAGGTCAAGTCCACCCCTCTCAAGTCATGGCTGTCATCTCTGCATCTGAGATGATTCTTGAAATTGTCACTTAACGTCAACAGGAAATGGGGAAAAGAAAGCCCAGGGAAAGTGTTTTGATTTAAAAGGAAGTTTCCCACCTCCATTCCACGCCAACTCAACTGGTCCAAACTGGGTTATGTGGCACACTTCCTGCTAGGGAGACAGCTTGTCCAGATTTATCTGAGACTTTTATGGTTTTATCTCCTAACTTCCTCTCAGTCCTAGGCAACTGGGAAGGTTGGTCATGAGAGTTGCTGCAATAAATTTCTGTGAAATACAAATTTTAGCTCTTTTTCTGAAGCTTTAGAACAAGCTTTCTCCCAGACAGTCATAGGGTCTGCCAGCTCATACATGATGCTCACAGCCAAGTTTCACTGATAAGGAATCAGTCATATGTTGCCATTTTTTTGTCCCAGTTTGTCTATATAGACTACAAATGTCTTACAAGTGGGGGGCCGTAGAGTCTGTCTCCATGTTTGTAATTTCAGAATCTATCACATGCTTGCACAGTGGGTATTGCAGTGTCACATTAACATGTGTCCAGTAGGATTTACCCTTAGTGTGGAGAAGCGAGGTCTTCCTCTTTCCTGAACACCAAGGGCCTTGCAATGAACCAGCCAATAGGTGGCGCTTTAGCTTCTAAGAAAACAAATTTTCACTGCAGTCAAATTTGCTGTGTGTTCCTTTGAAGTTGTATTTTTGATAGATTTGGTACATACTTTGTAAGATAAATTTTATATTTAATGTCCTAACAATTATGGGCTCAAGCAGCTAAATTTCTTGAAAGCCAATGAACCGAGAGAACAATGCAATATTATTAAAATTAACTGACTGTTAACCAACTTGAGATAAATCTGTGCAAACCTCAAGCCTCAATGGGGTCTGTTTGCACCCCCAACTCTATCAGCGATGGAGTGTTTAACAGTGACACAGAGCTCTAAACAAGGAAACTTTTGTACAAAGAAGATATTTAAAGTGACACAGAAGACTTCCCCATGTTGAGTCATCAAATTAATTAAAAATTATATTCAATATACATCTATATTAAGTTTAATGTAAATTAATTTTAGTAAGCTAGTAAAGCCAATTCTTAAGTACCTTGGAAAGTTTGGACATCACCATTTAAAACCAAATGTAAATGCAGTGTTTAAAACCTTTCAGATTTTAGTCTTCCTTTTGACCTTGCCTTACTTCTGCAGATTTTCTACCAGCTCATGAACTTGCTCCAGCTGTATTCACTCTGCTGTCCTGGCCATTTAATTAAGTTTTACTTCAACAATTATGTATTTTCTACTTTGCAATTATTTTTCCTCTTCAAGCTTCATGGTTGTTGGTTATTTCTTTTTTTCAGGAGTGGAACTCTACCAAGTCTCTCCAGATTTATAAATCTCACTTGTGTTATGTCTTTGTTTTGCTGTTGAGTGCTGTTTCCTCATTTCACTTGTTGAGTTTGGTGCTTCTCTGTCATGTGGTTGATCTTAATTTTTACTCGTGTTGGTTTTCTGCTTATCTTTTTATGTAAATATGTTTCTCATCAGACTTTTGATCTCTAATTTTTGTAGCCATGGATGATCTCATGCTGAAAATACTCTATTTCCAAATAAGACCACATTTATAGGACCTGAGAGTTAGGACTTAATATATCTTTTTTAGGGTGACACAATCCAATCCATATAGAGGTAGTTTTAGAAAAATGTACAACTTGAATATCTTGAGAAAACATCAGATAAATCTTAACTGAGAATTTGAGGGATAACCACAGATATTTTCAAAAGTGTCAAAGTTATAAAAGATGGATAATGAGAAACTATCTCAGATTAAAGGGGACTGAGGAAATGACAAATAAAAGTAACATGAGATTTTGATTTCTGGTCCAGAAAAAGGACTTCATTGGAGTTACAGGTGAAATTTAAATAGGATCTGTTAATAGTAGACTGTCAATGCTAACTCCTGGTTTGGATGATTGGTGGATAGAAGATGTAATCATAAAACAATATTTCGTAATTATCATTTTCCTAAGTGTTGTATATCACCAGGATGTAACTATACCATCTGAAACCTGCACTTTTGCTCTTGTAGGTAAAATCCAGAACCTTTTACCTGAAGATGCTGTGGATGCTGCAACCAGAATGATTCTGGTGAATGCCCTGTACTTTAAAGGAATCTGGGAATATCCATTCTTAGCCCAAGACACTACAGAAAAACCTTTCAGAATAAACAAGGTAGGAACCTGTTAATAATCATCAGGAATTTTACATGGCATTGTGAAGATTCTATTTTAAATTCCATCTTCTTTCTGGAGACACTATCTTATAACCAGTGACTCTGACTAGGGCAGGGATGGCTGAGCTGTAGCTTCCCAGTTGTATCCCACCTGGAAATTCCTCTTTCATCATTTTTCTCTGAAATGACTACATTTATTGAGCTTATCACTCAGTCCTTGTCACATCTGTAGAGAAGGTAAGGCAGTAACCACATTTACTCAGTGCCCAGGTGATCAATACAGTGTGGCTGAGTGACTGGAGCCCAACCTGAGCCAGCCGTCGCCAGAACCATAACCCAAAGCTCATCACTTCTCTGTTCTTCTTTTACTTTTACTAAACCAGAACTCTCGCTGCCAAACTCTTATCCTTCCATAAGTAACAGAAATAAAAATATAAACTCTCAGTTCTTTCCTGAAGGTTTCTCTGTGTGTTAGGATACAACATACTTGTCTTTGAAGTTGGAACCCACTACAGCAAAGAGCAGATCATGTAGGGAGACAGATACACCCACAGAGCTCCAGGACTGGGCTGTGGCTGGGTTTGGGGATGAAAATGGAATCAAAGACTCCAATGTTGTCAGGATCATTCTCAGTCTCCACCACTATTTCTCCATCATTCCCTCCCCGACTGAAGTTTAACTTTCTCGGCTTCCCAGTCCTACTGGCAGGACACAGCTACCCGCAACACCTCCTCATGCCAGAGCCCGGCTGACAGTCTCATGCCAGAGCCCAGGACAGGAGTTGATTGACCAACATTTATTAAGGCTGCTTAGGCACGGGGTGGGACAGCTCATCCAAACAGAGCTGCCTGCCAGGAACCTATTGCAAGAGTCATGTGGAAATTGCAATAGGAAGTTTGCAATCTGTGGAGTAAAGATGGGGAAAAGGCCCCAACATACAATCTACTAGGCTAATACCAGGCCTAGTACACGCACCAGGAATTCTCAGCTGCAAGTGATAGAAAGCACATTCCAACCCAGTTCCATATGAAACAAGTTATACTGGCATTAGCTTATGCAACTGAGAGGGACTGGGAAATCTGGCAGTAGGGTCACTAGAGTATCACTACAGAACCTTAGTTCCCTCCCTGCGTTTGTCTCTCTCCTCTCTGGAGGTTGCCTTCATTCTCTGATATACTGAGGATGGACTTTTCCCACAAGACCAGGGGCTGCGACTGCCTTCATTCAGCCTTCTCGCTCATAACCCTAGTAGGCAGAGTCTGCTCTTAACTCAAAGCACTTACAGAAAACTCCTGAAGACACTGGTTGGTTCATTCATGTTGACGTTGGCAGCAGCATGGCATTGAGATTGACCTCTAGAATGGATAAACAACGAGCGTACAATATCGGCAACAGGGATTTGGTTTTGTTTCACCATTGGTTTTAGTAAAAATAGACTTTATCTTTTAGGGCATTTTTGGGTTTTCAGCAAAGTTGAAAGAATAAATAATTCCCATATACCACTTCTGCTCACCCGCCTCTCCCCTATTAGTAACATCTTGCTTTAGTGTGGCATGCCTGTAATACTTCATGGGTCAGTATTGATGCATTATTATTAAAGAAAGTCCATAGATTGCACTATTGCACTCTCTGTGCTGTACATTTTGTGAGGTTTGACATCCTCAGCATGCTAAGGAGGTCCTGGCCTCCACCTATTCATCCCTCCTACCCAATCTCCTAGAAACCATGGTTTTTTATTTTTTTTTTACTATGTCTATAGCTTTGCCTTTTCCAGAATGTCACAAATTGGAATAACATAGCATATAGCCTCTTTTTGGAGTAGCTTCTTGTATTGGGGGTTCTCCCAAGTCCATTTGGGTGACTCCATGGCTTATTTCATTGATGGCTGAACAATCTTCTGTTGTAAGGATGTAGCAGTTTTTTTATTCTTTAACCGGAGATGGGGACATCTTGCTTGCTTCCAGTTTGGGGTAATTATGAGTAAAACTGTTATAAACCTTTGTGCACAAGATTTTTCATGACTTAAGTTTTTAACTAATTTTGGCAAATTCACTGGGGTGCAGTTGCTGGATCACATGGGAAGACTGTGTCTAGCTTGATAAGAAACTGCGAACTGCCTCTCAAAGTGAGACTGCAAGTCCCTTTTGCATTCACACTGGCAGGCAATGACAACTCCAACCTTCACCCACAGTTTGCCCGGTCAGTGTTTTGGATTCATAATTATTATAATAGGTAGGTGGTGTCCTCATTGCTTTAACGTGTAATTTCCTGATGACATGTGATCGACAATTCTGTCATTGACTATTTGTCTTCTTTTAGGGAGGTGTTGGTTCAAATCTTTTGCCTATTTTTAAAATAGGGTTGTTTATTATTGTTGAGTTTTGAGTTCTCTGTAACTTTCGGATGCCAATCCTTTACCTGATATGTACTTGGAAAATATTATCTGCTAGTCTATTGCTTGTCTTTTCATTCTCTTAGTGTATTTCAGCTTTATGACTTTAAAATATTTTTTTATGATTTATTTATTTATACAAGAACTGGGGTACAGGCGAGATGCACAGGAAGGTGAGAGGATTCACCAGAGACAGAGTGGGGAACAGAACAGGCAGACTGATGAAATACACTGCTGAGGGGAGCAGCAGGTGAGACAGGAGAGGTCTGCCACATCATGTGGGATTCTCGCCGGCTGCTAGGGATCGAACCCACGCTGCAGAGGCCACGGACAGCTTCACAGTGTGGTACTCAACCGCTGCGCCACCAGGGAGGCCCTATGACTCTAAAATATTTTCTCAAATACTGTCATGTGAAACACACCCTACTCAGTTTCTTAACTGAATAAAAGACATCTGTGTGGTTTACATAAGAGTATATATCTCTTTTATGTAGTTAGTGGAACCCAGCTTGCTGTGAATTACAGAGGTTGTCACAATAGTGTGAGAAAAGAAACTCCCACATTGTGTATTGATATTGTTATCCTGTGTAACACCTGCCCCCAGAAAGCATGGGCCACGTCACTTACTCAGTAGTTAGCAGAGGACTGCTGGTATTGCCAGCGCCCCCAACTAATGGGAAGTGATGCTGAAAAAGAAAGGTTTGGGAACATCTCAGTGATTTCACAGCTTATTTTCTACAGACTACAAGCAAACCTGTGCAAATGATGTCGATGAAGAAAAAACTTCAAGTGTTTCACATCGAAAAGCCGAAAGCCACAGGCCTTCAACTCTACTATGAGAACCAAGACTTCAGCCTGTTCGTCCTCCTGCCGGAAGACTTTGGTGGGCTGGAGCAGGTAAACACATTGGCCTGGGTGATGTGAAGATGGTTCTGGTGTTTACCTCTCCTGGGAGAAATACAAGGTCTTGTCCTGTTGTTTAGTTCCCATAGAGGAAGGCGAACCACATACCTGCTCACAGGTGTCTCTCCTTTACATACAACTCTGCAAGGCTGGTTTGCACGTCCTCAGAAAGCTGAATTCATGGATCGATACATCTGGGGGGTGAGGCTGCCCCAGCCACACATCAGCCATACGAGCAATAGAAGCAGGTGTTCTTTGGCAGTCTCAGCGTTGTGTGGACTCACCCCCAAACCTTTTAGTCAGTCTTCTCCTTCTGGCAAAACCTACCTGATTAGAGATTTATGTTTTTAATCACTAGCATTAATCTAACTTAGATACACATGTTTAAACATTAAACTGACTTCTAAAATGTGGTCTCCCATGTTTTTAAAACAAATGCTTTTTGTGCCTTGACATACAACTTGTTCTAGAGTGTCTGCTTTTCTGTAGACAATGTCTTAATGAATATTTACATTGATATATTTGCTGGTATAACTGATGTCTTGCATATTATTGAAGTACTTCCATTTTGAATCAAGGTCTAATTCCCTTAATCCCTGAGATTCTGATGGGTCAGCAGTGTGGAGGGTTCCACTGTGCAAAGAATTTCGAGCTGTGTCTGCTTTGTCACCTTTAGCATGGGAGTAGTCCCAGTTCAGCCCCGTGGTGCTAGAAGTCTTACCTGTATTTGCCACTCCACATTGAAGTTACTGACTCTTCTTTCTCGGTTCCATATCCGCAGCTGGAGAAGGACATCACCTACGAGAAACTGAGAGAGTGGAGCAGCGAAGACATGATGGAGGCATATGACGTCCGGCTGCACCTGCCCAAGTTCAAGCTGGAGGAGACTTACGATCTCAAGTCTATCCTGAGCAGCATGGGGATGAGCAATGCCTTTATCCAGGGCAAAGCTGATTTCTCAGGAATGTCTGGGGAGAGAAACCTATATCTGTCCAATGTTTTCCACAAGGCTTTTGTGGAAATAAATGAGCAAGGTACCGAGGCTGCAGCTGCCACTGGAAGCGAGGTGGGTTTCCGAATTAGACTCCCCTCCATTGAATTCAATGCAGACCACCCGTTCCTCTTTTTCATCAAGCACAACAAGACAGACAGCATTCTCTTCTTTGGGAGATTCAGCTCTCCCTAATCCCTGCATCTCACTCACCAACAAGGTAGAAAAAGGCACCATAAGATGGAAAATACACAATGAAAATAAAAACCGGTTGGTTCCCTGGATCTCTTCTCGTTTGAATATTAGCAAGAAAATCTGTACTTTAGAGATCTTATTAGATTTGCATAGCTAGACAGAATGGCAAGTTTTATTTTTACCACTAAACATTTTATCTTCATGTGACTTTTAGTTACATTTTAGAAATTTCATTGTTCAGCCACTTGCTTTCGATCCTTGCATGTCCTGCATCTGTGCCCCACTGCCACTTTCATTTCACACGCATCATCTCATGAAGAAAAATCTTTAGGATGGTGACAGATTAATAAGCAAGAATTTTTCCAAGAATTATCCTGATGGTTCATAAATTACCACTGTAAATTGAAATCCCCGATTGTTGCTGACTATTAAAAAAATACTTGTGTTGACATTAATGGAAAAACTTGTGAGGTACAAGTGAAATCTAGAGTTTATTTAAGAAATCTTGTTCGGCTTCTTAGTTTTAAAACATTTTACCAAGACAATGGTAGCTCTTAGCCTTAAGGGAAACTGTGTGGACTGTACCATCTTTACAACTTTTTGTGCATCTAAAATTATCCCAAAATAAAATTTTATCAGAATTAATTATTGTGCATAAAAGTTTAGGCATATTGGCATTACTGCCTTTAAAATCCTTATGAACTAGAGGACTAAATTTCTAATTTACGTACTGTTTGTTACAAGAAGATACTCTTAATAATACTAAATTGCCATAAAATTGGTGATGTTTTTCTAATTTTGTTTAAAAATGCTGAGCTGCCCCTCTGTGTCGCTAGTCTCATCAGCTGTTACTCCAAATGTCGGAACCGATAGTGTCCTTCTGGGCTGCTTTTTCCATGTGCACAAATAAAGTGAAAGACTGATCTGATAGTAAAAGGATAAAAACTAGTACAAGAATAAATGTTTTGTATCTCAAGTCTTGGTTTGGTCTTATAAGGTTAAAAAAAAATGATTTTCTGTTTCAAAGATTGGCAATTGCCCTGTGTGGTATTTTATCATATCTTCAAGAGAAATGGCTTGTATCCATAACACCTCACATTTAAGAAGCGATGGAGGAAGTCCCTGTAGCTGTGTTCCAGTAAGTTAAAAGTCCTTAAATGTTCTATATCATACCCACCAGCCAACACTCTCTGAGAGGCTGCCAGTGAGAAAATATTGCATGCTTTCTTTCGAACAATCAACGAGAAAGGGTAAAAGATACTAGAAACTTCACATTGGTAAGAGTCGGGGAAGTGTCTAGTTAGGTTTACTGAGCACCCAAAGTGTATTAGTAGATATTCTGGAGAAGGAAACTATATGCCTCAACCACAGCAGACCTGGGTCCCCTAGTCTCCTGGAGACATGTTGCTTACAAATCCTGGGGGAACTGGATTCAAAGTGGAAGTTAGTGCAAAGAAAAATCATTGCAAAATACCATGGAGTCATCTTGGAGGGGTATGTGTGGGTTTTTATAAATAGACTTTAAGTGGAGAACACTGCTGACGTTAAAAGTTTTCCTCCTTCAAAGCAAATGTATACCTCTCTTTTTAAAAGGATTATGGAACTTAATACATAGAAAATCATTGAGGTAAAATACAGACATTCTCACATACAGATTTTAATGTATCCAGTGGTGTCTGGTGGAGAAGACTATTTTCCTCCTTATTTCTATTATTCTGCACTGGTTGGTTTTGTTATAAATTATACTTGCACTGCTTTGGCAACATTGCTTGATAAACTATACTCTGGGCTGAGCTTGGTGGATGAAGAGATGTCTATTTGCAGAATGTAAAAAATAATCACATTTACACATATAAACGTACATGGGAAAACCCCACTTTTTTTTTATCCCATTGTGCTATCTCCCTTGGGGGCCCCCTCTTCTGCAGTCCTCTTGGTGGGTGGAATGTCTCCTTCCAGGTCCAAGGGATGGGAGGCAAATTGGCTCTCTGGCTCGCTGCTCCCAGGACACCAAGTAGAGTCAGCCTCCATCTCCCCTTCCACCACCATGTCCTGCCCACCTGGTCCTTCCAGGCCATGAGCAGAGCATTCTAGCATGTGGCTCAACTTCCTTTCCATCCGTCCCTCCACCATCACGCACGCATCCCAGCTATGTGTCTTCCTAGATGGCAATCCTAGCCCGAGCCCCAACCCATCCAGTCCTATACCCGCTCAATCCCCAGGACGGTTACTGTTTGACCCATGGCCACTCATCGACCTTGTCACCTCCCCAAACCCCAAACCTTGCCCTCCCCTGTTTTGGTATTGCCACTGTGAGTAATCGCCTCCCTGGTAATTTTCATGTCTCCTCTGGCCATTCCACGTGTCTTTTTTGGCTTCCCCCCTCGACTCATTCCTTATATATTGGCATTCTGTGGCTCCTTTGCCTTTTCACACTCCCAGGAAAATCTTACTATGCCCATGGCCCAGGATTTCAGCTGTGGGCATTTGCTCATGACTCCCAAATTACTGTCTGATGCCCAGAACTCTCTGTGGCCCTTCCGTGCAGCTGTAACCTTCCATGACAAAGCAAAAGCTTCAGAATTTGTTTCCTCTTCTCCCAGCCTTACATAGTGCCCCATCATCAGGGGTTTGTCCAAATCAATAATCCGGGTACAATACTCAGTTCCTTCCTTGTCCACCCTCCTAGTCTACCGGAGCCTTCCAAACACCTTTTATGTAATTATTAGTTATTCCTTTTCATTATTGCAAATTTATTAATATTCTTTGTCCATATTTCTATGGGAATTTCTTTTTATTATCAATGTTTTCTTTGAGCCCCTTAAGTGATATTTAAATTACTTTTTCATACATTTTCTTATTTTGTCATTTATCTTTTCATGGTTGGCATCTTTTGACATATGGACATCAAATGTTTTCAGTCAAAAGTATTGAATTTTGATGCCTATTTTCAGGTGCGTCACTGTGGGTATCGTAGAATCCCAGCCAGCCATGACTGGTAAAATCTTAAACGGTAAATATTTATAAAAGATATCAGACAAAGAGGTGCTGCTCCCCACTGAGCTCACCCACCACCGCCTTCTCTGCTGCTGTCCACTTTCTGAGTAATTTTGCCCTGAATTCCCCTCTGGCTCGCTTAACCTGGTAGCTGGCTCTTCCTTCAGCCCTGGACCCAGGCTGCTGCAAGGGAGTGTTTTCACGAGGACAAGCTTGAACATGACTGTGATTAGCACGTCTCCACTTGGGCCTTGCTTCCATTGGCTTAAGGCAGTCACATGACCAAGCTCCGGCCAGCCTGAGTGACCACACAAGGTATAAATGATGGAAATAGTGAGGGGCGACCCTGAGGCCACCGATCACTGTCATAGTTGTTCCCCTGACCCCCGGTGATTCATCCCTCCCACAGGCCAAGTACCCTGACCCCCCTGGGCCTATTAGGGGACCAGGCTCAAGCTGGAAGACTAGGAGTTTGTGCCATCCAGGCTTTTCAAGATGCAGTTGCTTCCTTGAGTGTAGAGATTTGTGAATTGAAGAGGAACACATAAATATACACCAAACAGGCAGGAAGAGCAGACCATGGAGATGCATTTTAAGACCAGCAAGGTGAATAGTTCACACTGTCCAAGCAAGTGCTGGGACCAGCCCTGTGTCCATGTTGGTTTTATAACATGAGTGGGGCTTCAGCTCAACGACATTGACTTTCCACGTTCCTGTGGAGCCCAGCTCCTCACTCCCACAAACCTGCAACCTCCCTCCCAACTTCCTCTCCTTTTTATCACTCACAAATAATGCCACGTGCTTGGAAGCTGCTGGTCCAGGCTCCTATATCAACTGCATTGTGATCTACTATATTATACATCAGATTGTACTGATATTGGCTCTTTTTAAAAAGAGATTTATTTTATTTATTTTTGCAAAGAAGAACTGGGGCATAGGACAGAGGTGAGAGGGGTGGTGAGAGGATTCACCAGAGACAGAGTGGGGAGCAGAACAGGCAGATCTACAGAAAATACCCTGCTGAGGGGAGCAGCAGGTGAGACAGGAGAGGTCCTGCTGTGCCATGTGGGTAGCTCCCTGGCTGGGGATTGAGCTGCTTCGGGGCTGTGGATAGCTTAAGAGTGCTGAGACTTAACCCCTTAAGCCACCAGGGAGGCTCTGATTGTGGCTTTTGAGATTAATACTCCACAGTATAATGTTTGAAGCTCTTCATAATTTGGATACAAAATTTATGCTCTTTGCATGCTCTTTGCTTTCCATTGGTGTTACCTCAGGGAACCCTTCCTGGGGAAGCACCACTGTCCCATTTGATGCTCTCCTCCCAGCCATCACAACGCTCCCTGCTGGGTGAATAGCATGGCAGGGGGAAAGAAGTCTTATCCCCTCTGTTCAATGGTATTCAAGGGCAGAGAATGCTTTCTCAGAAGCACCCAGCATGGATGTCATAGTGTTATAGAGCAACCCCGATATTAAACGGGTTCCTGGCTGTGGGTCCTCACCCGCGCGCTTTAAAGGGACTTATGAATACTCTACTACAGACACACGCAAAAGGGTTAATAAAAGGTTTATTTACAAGAGAAAAAGAAATAAGGAAAATGTACAACTCAGGGAGAAAATAGGGAAATAAAGTCTTTAATGCGTCCTACCCGATCCGACGACCTGGAAACCCCAAAGTCACTCTCAGAGCTAGACAGACGCCGCAAGCTGGCCGAGGGCCCCAAAATGGAGAGAGAGCCCCCAAAGCCCACGTGTCTGCCTTTTGTATCCACCTGGCTGCTTAACCCCACCCTCAGGTCCCAGCCACCTTCCCTTTGGTGGTGATGGGATTTGGAGTTCCCAGTGTCTTTGGCTTTGACCTGGGGTGGGGGTGGAGTCCACAAAGCCTGTATGGAATTTGCTTTGGGACTGCCTTTTCCCCCTAACAATAGTAAAGAAATACAAACCCAATGCAATATCCTCAGTCTTTTTTGGTGACAAAAATAACAGAGGCACCAAATTTTGTTTAAAAATAGATAAATAAAAGGTATGTGTAGGATGGACATGAAGCTTAGTTATTTTCATCTTTGAAAATGTTATTTACAGAAAAGATTTTAACTTTCTCTTGCCTAATCCATTTATTTTATTCTTTATCATTTGACTTGAGACTTTTGCACATTCACAAAGGTAGACAGAATAGATTAACTAAGTTTATTCTTGATCATTGAACGTTAATTTAATGTCCCCAGTAGGATGCACCTGCATCTTTAGTTTCTCAAAGAAACATGTTTTCTTCTTTGTTTTATTCTAAAATGAACCATTCCATTTTATTCTAGCAAAAGGTCTGTCCTTGAAATTTCTTTAAAGATTCCATGTTAGGATTTTATTGAGGTAAAGTTGGTATTTCATTTTATTTGTTTCAGGGGCTATAGGTTAAAATCTCTTCAAACATGTTTTTACACCCTTCCTGCCACTAATGTCCCAATAGTCCTCAGTGGTCACTTCTCCATGAGGACAGTAAAGGGGAAATCCTAAAGATACAAGTGTTTTGGATCAGACCTTTCCTTGTCCACTATCTGCTCGAGACCAAGAGAATGATTCCTGTTCTTTGTCCCATTCATCATCAGTCAAGACTGTGTCAGGGCTGAGGACCTTTCAAGAATGTGCAGAGTACGAGGTGTCTGAAAAGCCAGAGGTGGCCCTGAAACTCTTCAGAAGTGTTCTGTGACAGCCCTTTGACAATACTCTGTAACAATCAATGTAGTGTCCTAAGTATGGCCCGAAATCAACCCAGACTTGCTTATTATACTTACAACACCAGTTTCATTGTATGCATTTTTTTTTTTTCTTACAAAAAGCCCAAGGTTCCAACTGCGCTAACCCTTCCGGTGACAAGTGGCCATCACTAGTGACCCCTCGCAGATATTCTGGGAAAACAGCTGCTGCCATCAGGTACAAGTACATCCATTTTGAGAACATCTATTTGGATATTTTCCCGGCATCATCTGATTTTATTACTAAGAGGATGTAATCTTAAAATCTTGGGAAATGAAGGTTTGGTTGGTCTTCAAACTGTTCAGAGTATTGAAAATAATTATAAAACCTTTTGCACGAACAACTGATGTTTAGTGACTTTTGCATTTTACTGATTAGATTTCAACTACAGCTCTTTGCATGATTAGTGTGCAGATTGAAAATCAAGGTCAAGGTCAAGTCTGTATTACCAGTGATGAGTTTTTGAAACCCACCCAATTCCTGAGTAGCCATTCCTCATGGCAGCCTTTAATCCAAGATTAAAGGCTCTTAACCAGGTCTTCAAACAAACAACCCAGGTCCTCCTATTATTGTTTTGCAAAGAGCTACAGATTATTAAAACAAACAAATGCAATCACACGGTTCTCATTAATTCTAAAGTAATTTTCTGAGAACAAAAACGTTCATTTCTACTACTTCTCCCCTCTCCTGTGGAACTTCTCTTTGTTCACAGTGTTCCATACACCCCGGCTATTAGCACAGACATCCATGCAGGCTGGGGTATGTGTTTTCAAAAGTTGTTTTGCTGGGTTTCTGCCAAACTAGCTTGGAAACCACTGGCTTCCAGACTCTCTTCCCTCGGGTTCTGGTTTTAGTAAATCTGCATCATAAAGCTCCTTTCTGAAACCACTGGTGTTTGCAAACAACACCCAGGGCAAGGAGTGGGGGAACCCTGCGCCCCCGGATCCGGGCCCCCGAGGGTGAGGCCTTCCCGGCCAGGGCTAAGTGACCTCGCCCGCTAATCCTCGGGCTCTCGGGACCCGGCCGGGGAGCTCCGGCCCCCAGGGGTGCATCCCCGGAGGAGGAGCCGGGACGGCGGCGGCCTGGCGCAACCTCAGCTCTGAGTCACCTGCCGGAAGCCTTGCCCGAAATCCCAGAGACCAGACCGCATCCGCCGGCTGGAGCAGCAGCAGCAGCAGCAGCAGCACGAGCAAAGGTGCAAACTCCAGGTACTGAGCCCGGGAGGCGCTGCGGTCCTGGCGCACCCCCTTCTCCAGGCGCACCCCCTTCCCGGAGCCCGGGCTGAGCAGGGCGGCGGTGCAGGGAGCTGGGGCGCAGAGCCTTGGGGTCTCGGGGCATCGGCCTGGCCCTCGGCCCCACCCCGCGTCTGGCTCCGAAGTGGGGCTCTCCGGGCCGGCTGACCTCCGGGGCCCCCGCGGGGCGCAGACCACCCGGGGTGCCCCGGCTCCCCGGCCTGCGAGGGACGCCCCGGGACGTGCAGGCGCCGCTGCGCGCGATTGGCCTGCGCGGGGGAAGAGGCTGTGGCCAGCCGGGCGCGGAGGCCGGGCGAGGAGTGGAAACTTTGCGCAGCTGCGTGGGAGGAGCCCAGGGGTGCGCTGCAGGCGCCGCCCGCCTGGCGTTGCCAGGGAGCTCGGGCGAGTCCTGGGAGGTGCTGGGGCCGTGCGGCCTCCAGCCAAATCCAGATTCTCTGCCCGCTGCATCGCAATGCCTCCTCCCCCCACCCGGCTCTCCAGCCCCGCAGGCGCCGCCCTGCGCCCCGCAGCGCGCCCTCCCCGCGCCCCGATGGCCAGTCCTGTCTCCTCCGGGCCCGCAGGGCCTCAGCGCGTCCTGTCTTCCCTCCACCGCGCAGCCCCCGGTCATTCATGCTTTCCCTACATTCTCCCGAAAACTGGATGCTGATACCTTATATCCTTATATATATTTTTTACTGAAAATCCCATCTCTCCAGCCCGTGGTGTTTTGATAACACCGTTGACTTTGACACACGCCCCCCAAGTACTATCTTTTGCTATGTTGAAATTAATATTTTTTTTTTGTTGGCAAGATCCATGTCGGTTCATGGCCCAACCTGCCCCAAAGCTGTAAGGTATAGATGTGACTGGGACAGCGGGCAGGGTGGGCAGGCGCTGAGGCTTTCCTGGAGAGGAATGGGCTGCAGAGACTCCCGTTGTTAACTCTTATTTAACTGACTCCTTCGTCCTCAGTGCGGGGTTTTAGCCACAGGCGGCAGGTTTTTGCACAGCTGCTTCACAGCTGCAAGTCTAGCAGTTGGCTTTGCTCTGCCTGCTAGAGCAGGGAAGCCTCAGAACACTTCCCAGCGAGTTCTTGTGGTTCTGGAGCTCGGAAGTCTGACAGGTCGCCAGCTACGCTTTTCCTGGTGGCTCTAGGGGGCAGGTCATTTCCTTGCTCTTTGGGTTCCTTGCTCTGTGGACCCACATCATTCAGACCCCTACTTCCATCCTTCTGTCACTCTGACCCACCCGCCTCCCACTTATGGGGACACTGAATACAACACGCCCACCCAGAGAATCCAGGAGAATCTCCCCACATCGAGATCCCAAATTGATCACATCTGCAGAGACCCAGGGACATGAGGATAACACAGTCAGTTTGGGGGGATGAGACCCGCCAGCCGCACCCAGAGTCCTGCTAGCAGAGGTGAGACCGGCAAGTTCGGCTGATGTGCGTCTATGCTTTGACACAGGCCTTTTCTCATGGATGACCTCTGCGAAGCAAATGGCACTTTTGCCATCAAATTATTTAACATGTTGGGGGAAGAGAACCACTCAAGAAACATGTTCTTCTCCCCGCTGAGCATCTCCTCTGCCTTGGCCATGGTCTTCATGGGGGCCAAAGGCAACACTGCCACCCAGATGTCCCAGGTATGTGCCGCCACAGAGGAAGAACAAGGGTTGGCCTTTCTGTGCACCGCCCGGAGCGGCTCTTTACCTGCCTCACACAGCAACTGAAAGTCCCATGGCTGGTAGTGGTGGTTGGGAGGTGGGATGGGGCAGGGAGCATGCAGCTTTGTCCAGAGGACAGACATGGGCAGGAAGGTGAATTGTGAGGACAGACTCCCTTAGTGCTCATGGGAGCCAGCAAGTCATATAAAGAAAGCATCAGTGGGTTGTAGCAAAACTGCATTTTTGCTGGAGAGGAAACTCTAAATTCCACCCCACCAAAGGCAAAGCATTTCAATTTTATTACCTTCGAAACATTTGCTAGCATCGTCTTTCCAATGGCAATGCGGCTGTAGAAGCAAACTGCCTTCAGTGGGTCTGTGCTGGTGCATGATGATGCTCGCTCGGGAACAGAATATGACACAGATGTGGGCTCGTCTCCTGGGGTGACTTAAAGGCAACATATAATCTGATTGATCAGAAATGGGTGACATGTGAGCCGAGTTACAAATGAACTAGCAGCTAAGAGTCTAGGAAACCAGCCCTTAGCCTCCTCCTGCCTTGTTTCCTCGACTGTCTGGTGAATATCCCGGACGGCTGCCCTCTGCGGCCACCTTGCCTCTAAGGCCGGGGAGCGGGGACCGTCTCTGCAAGTGCGTCCAGGGTGTCAGTGGAACTCCCTGCGGTTGTCCTTCTAGTCTCAGAGGAGTGAAGCTTTGCGCTGGGGGTGACGGCGGATGCAGGAACAACCTGAGTTCCCATTCTGCCTTGACAAAAATCACTGGCCTGCAGAACTGTGAAGTTGCTGATGAAACATTTTTTATGTTTATTTCTGCTCCTTTTTGTCACGGTAGATTGCTTCCGAAGGCCTGTTTGTTTTGTTCTGCCTCCTCCCTGAGTTATCACAACTAGCTGCCTGCCTGGGGGATCACCAGGATGGCTGAGTGGATAAACTTTCTAGGGGAGAATGGCCAGGCCCTTTGGCTGGCGGGGACAGAGTGCTTCTCTTATCTGCGGGGTGCTGCTGACATCTAGTGGACAGAGGCTAGAGTGGCCGCAAGGTGCCCTGCAATGCACAGGGTGGTCCCCACATCAAAGCATCGGCCCGGTATGTCAGCAGCGCCCAGGCTGAGAAACCCTGCGAAAGGCAGTCAAACCAGATTCTTTTATGCTGTGGTCCTCGGTGATTTTCAGCACAGAGGTTGGTTTGGAGCTTGCTCCTTGGTGGAGTGAAATGGCAATGATCGAATCACTGTCCTTGTCTCTGCTCACAGGCCCTTTGCTTGGATAAAGGCGGAGATGTTCACCGGGGCTTTCAGTCTCTTCTCGCAGAAGTTAACAAAGCTGACGCTCAATGTGTGCTCACGACCGCCAACAGACTCTTTGGAGAAAAGACCTGTGATTTCCTTCCTGTAAGTAGTTCTCACACTGGGGACAAATTGAAAATCAGAGAGCCGTGGCAAACGCGTGACTTTAAATTGTATGATTGCTTCTGAATTATGTCCTTTGCTTTCTTGCTCTTGATACATCCCTCCCGGATGTCAGTGTCCCCTAGGCCACCCTCTGCTCCCCGCCATCTCAGCGACTGCAGCGACTCCCCGGGGGTGCAAGGCTCCTCCCTGTCCCCTCTCTGGGAGTTGAGCTGCCCCTAGCCTGGCTGAAGACTCTCCTGCATCTTCTACATCCTTATTTAATGGGTTCCCAACTGCTTTCCAAGCCCAGCCAGCTCCTTTGTTTCATCTCATCCATCCACACTACTGACAGAATAGTCTTTCTAAAATTAAAAACTGTTCATAAAAGGGAGGTTTGAAGTCTGAGGAGTGTGGCATGCAGTTCCAACGCTCCCTAGTCCAGCAAAGGGCGTGGTCCTGGAAATCAGGCCCAACGACTGTGACTGTGGCCATGCAGTGACCTCAGAGCACCCCGCCATTCTCTGGACTGGAAGTTCCAAGGGTTCTCTGGAAGCCTCCTGTACACCCTGTCCTGATTGCTCTGCCCCCCCACCCCACATGTGGGCTGCACCCCATGGAGGGTGGCTGCAGTGGGCTGAAGTACCGGTGGAGCTGATTCTGCATTCTTCCGCTGGCTCGGTCTTTCAGGAGAGACTCGGGGTCTCCTGGTTAATCAGTGTTCCTTCTGAATAGCCACCTGATCTTTGAACACTGAAACTGGGGAATATCGGGGCACAGGAACCACCCTCCACCTTTCTTGGTTCCTTTGCTCCTTCTTTCTACATCTTCTGTAGAGGCTAAAATATTTGCAAACACGAGATGAGAACAAGGCCCTGGTTGCCAGGCATAGTCTCTCAAAACTGAATATTTGTGAGTGAGTTATTCTTGGGTTTTAACATATTGCGGGGAAGGCCCTTCGTGACTTGACCCAGCTTACCTTTCAAGACTCATCTGCTGTCACTGTGTTTTCTCTAATCCCTTACACACACACACACACTATGATCTCGGTCTATCACTTTCCACTCCTACAGGGCCTGTAAGATTTCTGGATAATCTGGTTCCACCATGGGCTCTCTCAATTATTCAACAAGTATGTTCTAGACGCCGTAGTTGGTACCGATGATGCAGAAGTGAGTACAGAGAGTCAGCCTGCTGGTGAGCAGGACAGGGGGTCAAACAGGAGGTGGAAGGAAGTGTGTCGGCTGGGATTTTTGTGGGCTGCTGTGGGTCTGGTACCCCTGCCAGGGTCTCTAACATGTGTGACCCTCCGGTGCACCCGCATTGCTCAGCGGCCTGTGAGCCCGCAGTCTGCATCACGACTTCACCCTGGGCTGCAGCACAGGCCAGTTACGTGGACAAGTCTACAGGACAGGATGTCCTGTGCGAGCGTTTGTGCTAGAAAAACGTTAAGAACAAGAGGTTTTCACGCTGTGGGGCCAAACCCCGTCTGTCGCCCATGCAGGCTTTCAAGGACTCCTGCCTGGAGTTCTACCATGCGGAGCTCGAGGAGCTGCCCTTTGCTGAGGACGCCGAGGGCTGCAGGAAACGCATCAACGACTGGGTGGCCCAGAAGACAGAGGGTGAGAGCTGAGGGCTTCGGGCACTTGAGGACGGGAGGAAGGGCAGACGGGGCTGGCCGGGCGGTGACCTCCTCGCTGCCGCCTCTGGGACTGGATTCTGCAGAGGCTGGTGTGTTTGCTGGGGTTTCAGGTCAACTATGAAGTTCTGTTATTCTTCTTGGGTTTACTGGATCATGAGGTCCTGATTGCTAAAAATACTTGAACCTAGTGTAAGACTCTCAGAAGCCTCCCCTCTGGGCCATGCTGGAGAATTCCTGAAAGATGCTTCCTCTTGGGAGACCTGTTTACGCCGCCTGGGAGGGCCTGGTGGGGGAGGGTGGGGTTTTGCTCGGTTGCACATCAGCCGTGACAGAGTTTCTGGTCCCTCCTGGTGCCAATGTGAGTAGCTCTGGTTTCACCGCCTCCTCCTGCCTCCCCAGCCGGGCTGTGCTGTGTGGCTTTCAGAGAGGCAGCTTTTCTTGAATTTGTTCCTGATGCCAGAGGTACCGCCGTGTACCCTGTCCAGATCACATTCCTCTCACTAGAAATATTTCTCCCAGTTCTTGACTAGAAGGCAGAGAAAACATGCTTGTGGGCACCCTAAATACCTAGTGTATAATTTAGAGGCTTCCAGAATGTAGGGGCGTTACAGCCCCTTTCTCCACGCTCCAACCTGGCAGTCAGGATCCATCCATCAGTCTGGGGGCGCCCTCTGTGCCTCAGGGAGCAGCCATGGCCTGGGTCTTTGTGCTGAAGCCACAGAACAGGGATGCCCCAGGGGCTTAGCCTCTTGCAACAGCACAGGTCACCTGGGGAATTCAGATGCTTTTCCACACTCACCTCCCTGTACCCACCCCCTCCCCCCACAGCTGTGTACACGTCCTTCCATCAGCTGACCACCTGCCATTCCTCAGAATTATCCCCTTGTCCCCACCGTCACTGCACAGTTCAACTTGGGCCTCCTTCCCACACGCCTTTGCCCCACTCCCTCCCTCCAGGAAGCCTCCCCCGCTCACAGGGCTGCTGCCCATCCTCTGGAAGCCTCTCCTCACCTAAGTGAGGGCTGAGAGTTGGCGTGGAGCAATAGTTCCTGATCAGGATCGACCTCCTGGTGACACTGGCAATGACTGAAGATGATCTCAGTTGTCACAAACAGGGGCGTGTACTGGCCACACATCCCAGGTTGCGCAGGACAGTCCCACAGGGAATTATCTAATTACAGTGCAAGAGGGGAATCAGGGCTCTTGGGTGATCATCTTAGCTCAGTCACTTGCTGCCTACGTGATCTTGGCACAAAGTCAGGTGGATGTTTTGAATCTGAAATTCTCCATTTTTAGTTAGGGCAAAATGATAGTTGTCCTGCCAGTTTCGAATGGTTATCGAAGGACGAACAATGCATCGTGTGCAAGGACCTGACCCTAAGCACCACCACCCTCACCTGGTGCCAGAGGGACCGGGCTCTGGCTGCTCTCAAAGAAGCCAAGGATTTACATGCTGAGGAGGTTTTGATGCAAGAATATTATTCACCGCCAAGTAGCCATAAACTTTTCTCGTATTCTTTACAGGTAAGATTTCAGAGATCCTGGGTGCTGGGACTGTCGACCCCCTGACTAAGCTGGTGCTCGTGAATGCTATTTATTTCAAAGGAAAATGGAACCAGCCATTCGACAGAAAGCACACCAGGGGAATGCCCTTTAAAACCAGCCAGGTAGGGGAATATTTTTCAGATACACTTCTTCCTGAAAGTAACACGCTGGAAAATGGAAAACATAAATAAATTACTTCATGCTGTCTTGATCCTTAATCTATTCGTGAATGTGTTCTGTGCCCGCTGTACAGCTTCTCTGGGAGAAGGGACGGGAGATGCTGAAAAAGTTTTTATGTTGCTGCTTTTGTTTTGCATCCTTGGTCAAATTGATCTTCTATCTGGTTATATTATCTGGATTGAAAGACAATTTCTTCTAAGCCTTGGTGTTGTGTTTGTTTGTATCGTCACTCTTTATTTATTTACATGCTTTTTTTTGGTAATGTCAGTGACAACTGTGTCTATTTATTGCTTTAGAATCCGTGGCTATATAATTCTGAACACAAGACCAAAGTTGTTAGTAGATGTTATAGCTAACTTTATTTTTTCATTTTTGGATCTTTTAAAAAATAAAATTGCCACTGTATATTTTAGGTGTGCAAAATGATTTGATATACTTAGCTAAATTATTACTTTTATTACTACAGTCAAATTAATTTATGTACCTTCTCTTCACGTGGTCACCATCTTTTGTATTGTGAAAGCACCTGAAATCTACTCCGTTAGCAAATTTCCAGTGTCATTAAATATAGTCATAGATATCTGTTCCTAAAAGCCTGACATTAAAGACACTTTTTTTCATTTCCTTTTCATATGATAATGGCTGGGGGTCAGTAGACATTAACTCAGAATTTGACTTCCATCCACTTCATAACAGCATACATATTGCACAATGATTCAGAAGTCTCGAATATATTTGGTGTAAGCTTTAAAGATGGCAGAGCTGCACATGTGGCTGTTTCCCTTTCAAAGAAAAACAGTTACTTTTCAGAATAAAAGTGGAAGTTCTTCCAGCCTGTACTTCTTTTTCAGAAGAATTGGGGTATAGGCCAGAGGTGAGGGGGGTGGTGAGAGGATTCACCAGAGACAGAGTGGGGAGCAGAACAGACAGACCAACTGAAATACACTGCTGAGGGGAGCAGTAGGCGAGCTCCGCCATGTGGGTCAGCTCCCTAGCAGAGGATCCAACTCAGGCCACAGCAGTGATATTGTGGTAGTGCTGAGACTTAACCCCTCAGCCACCCGGGAGGCCCTGGAGAAATAATTTTAACTCTAAGGTCCCTGGTATACTTCTCTATTCATCTTCTCAAAAGAGAAGAACACAACTTTTCGCAAACATCACGTTGAGAGCTTTCTGGCTGTCCCTGTTGGTCAGTTTATTCTCTTATCTAGCAAATACTTGATTTGCTAGGACAGTAGCAGGTTGTGCTCAATACTAATATGTAATAAAGATTTTATAACTATCAGTATAAATGCACAGAAATAGTAATTCTCTTGTAGGCGCCTAGGGGTACTAGAATTTGACATATCTCATTGTCAGTAAATGTGCTCGTGCTTTCATAATCTGATATTAATACCGCATTTTTCTAGGAGCAAAAGACAGTGCAGATGATGTTCAAGCAAGCGCAGTTTAACCTGGGGTACGTGGACGAGGTGCACGCTCAGGTCCTGGAGCTGCCCTACGCGGGGGAGGAGCTGAGCATGGTCATCCTGCTCCCCGATGACGACACTGGTCTCCATGAGGTGAGTCCCTGGCCGGGGGCCCGAGTGTGGCTGAGCAGCGGGAGTGCACTCATCATGCAGTGATTAGATAACGCTGTCAGGTATTCGAGAAATCAGCTTTATTTGCAAATAGACTGGCAAGGAGGTAAGAGATCAACTTAAATCTTCCTCTCCGATAAAGACAGGAAATGAGGGTACAAAGGTTTACAAATGTTCTCAGGCTTGAGAACATTTTATTTTATTGACTGAGTATTGAGTTAGGGGCAAAGAAATGAGAACCTGGCTGAAGTTCATTGGCAAGGCACAGGGTGCTTGATGCATGAAATCTGAAGGGGCTACTCCTCGGGTAGTGGAGTTTGGAATTCTGTCCGCGGCCCCTGCCCGTGGCAGCCCCATCCTCACTTGCATTCTCAGTCTCCAGATGGTCCTTTGCTTCTTCTGGCTTCGGCTGAGTCATCAGGCTCTGCTTTCTGTAAATACAAGCCTCAGAGAGAAAGGCCTAGAATATGGGTTTGTTTTGTTTTGTGCTCTTAGAGTTTGAAATAATTTAACCATTTAGGCTCAGATTCAGGAGTATCTGTGCATGCAGCCTGAGCTACTTTCTTTACGTTCCCCCGACAGAGGGTATTGGAGGAGCTCCAGTTTAGGGTGGTCGCAGGAGTGCTGACAGTGACCCTTGCGTGTTTAAGCCAGCAAGTGTATTCATTGCCATCGAGTGTATACCTAGGAGTGGAATTACTAAGAGGACAGATTTTGGTGAAGTTAAGAGTTCCAAAACTGTAAGAATAGTATTCTTCATTTTGAAAGGAGCTGCTGATCGAGGGTCCAATAATTATTGAACAAAAGTGCTGAAGAAAGAGAGGGATGGATCTGATAGTGTTTCTCAAACACTAGTGTGCATAGGAGTGTCCTGGGGGTCTTGTTAAAGGCAGATTTTAATTTGAGGGCTATTGTTCATTTCTAACAAGATCCCAGTAGTCAGGTGTTCTTGGTCACGGACCACACATTGAGGAGCAAAAATCTAAAGTACAGGTGAGGACCTTACCTTAGAAGGAGAGAAACCTCTTCTCAGGACAGAAGATTCCCGAATGGAGAAAGCATATTCGTAAAAAGGAAGGTGCAGGGTCAGTGGTATGCTGGTGTCCTGCGCTCCGTGGGTACAGGTAACATTTGCTGATTTCCTGGTATAAATACTGAATTTATTTCATGAAGGGTTTTACAGTTGACTGGTCAGAGATACAAGCCAGCGGCAGCCCAGCAGGGAATAGGATGCTGAGGGTGGGCCAGCCTGATTTCCCTGGTTTCTATGGAACCAGGAAGTTATTGGCATGAGTTGAGGATGAGACCTGTGATGGCCACTTAAGAAGAATATTAGGAGCGTCTAGGAATAGAGCTAAAGTCCAAACAACTGTTAAGGGAGCGCCAGACTCACCTGGGCTCCAGGTGGTAAAGGGAGAGATGCAGGGGAAGGCCCGCTCCATCCTCTCCTTCCTGTGGATAAATAGAATGAGTGATGGGTCTTCGAGGCTTTGGCGCTCACGAACTCCAGGGCAGACAGAGGGCGAAGGGATGCCAGCAGCAGCACCCTGTTGAATTCCCCTTTGACTCTCCCCGTCTCAGAAGTCACATCTCCCTTCCTGTTCAGATGCTCCTCACACCCACCACGTACCTGTCAGTCCTGAGTCACTCTGTTTATCTCTGTCAAATAATCCCCAACTCACAGGAAGGCGTGTCACATACAACCAATTGGTTGAGAATTTTCTAACCTAAAAAACATTTGAAATGTACTTGGCACAGATGGTTTAAATGAAACTTTCTTATTGTCTCTTCTCAAACGCCTTATTGTCTGAGGTGCTTTCTGGTCATATTGTTCTAGAGTCCATAAGATGGGGGTGGGGAAAAGATGAGAATTTGAGGTGAGATCATGTGTGGTTACTAGAGGAATGATCTCTGTGGGCGAAATGGGCCGGGACCAGCACTCACCATCTCGTTGCCTGTCATGGGTGGGGGGCACAGTGTGGGGGCGGGTGGGCACCGAGCCGCTGTCCTCTAGATGTTGAGCTCTGACCCGGCATTATTCCAGGTGGAAAAAGCACTTACCTATGAGAAGCTGAGCGACTGGACAGATCCAGAGAAGATGACCAAGGATAAGGTTCAAGTTTTCCTTCCTCGACTAAAGCTGGAAGAGAGTTATGACCTGGAGTCTGTTCTTCGGAGTTTAGGAATGACGGATGCTTTTGAGGAAGTCAGGGCAGACTTTTCTGGAATGTCGACTAAGAAGAACGTGCCGGTGTCCAAGGTTGCACACAAGTGCTTTGTCGAGGTGAATGAGGAGGGCACTGAGGCGGCCGCCACCACGGCCGTGGTCAGGAACACTCGGTGCTGCAAAATGGAACCCAGATTCTGCGCGGACCACCCCTTCCTTTTCTTCATCAAGCACCACAAAACCAACAACATTTTGTTCTGTGGCAGGTTCTCATCTCCGTGAAGAGCTCAGGGCTGTCCACACGTCCCTTTCCCTCCCGTCTGCCCCCCTTGCCTTAACTCAGATTCCAGGGGGCCCAGTTGGTTATAGGGGCTGATGGCCAAAATAAAGTGTCTGCCCTTGGGGTGTTTGTGAGCATTTTACTAATTATTCCACAGCCATGGGGAACCAGGGAGGCTTCAGATGCGTGAGGTTTGGGGTGCAGAGGGCGAGGCTTGTTCTGGGGTGTTCCTGGAGCTCCTCTGTCTCTCAGGTCCTGTCCTCACCCACCTGTCAGATGACCAACTCTCCCCAGAGTCTGTGCCCCTTGTTTGTGGGTGTCTTCAGGAGGGTGTCAGGGACTGGTGAGTCCTTCCAGTCTTCCATGCCGTGATGATCTCGAAGCTCTGCCACCCCCACTGCAGAGCTCAGGGTAGATGCCAGAGCAAACCCTGCAGCTGCCCAGGCCTCAGGCACAGCTAAGATAATGTGTCTCTGGCCACGTCAGTGTCACAGACAGCCCCTGTGTCCCTTATCTCACAAGAGACCGTCAGATCCTCTTGCCGTGGACCCCAGATGCAAATTCAGGCCTCAGCAATGAGCTTCAGGACTGAACTTGCCTGTGGGCTTGTGTTTTATGACCTTTGTTATATTGATTTGGGTTCTTTCTATTCCCCTGTTGTTCAAAATTTTTATCATAAATGGGGGCTATATTTCATCAAATGCTTTCTCCACATGATATTAATATCATAGCATTTTATCATTTTGTTTGTGGAGAATATCAACATGATTAATAACAACGATATGAATGCATGATTGCATTCTATTCTGTTGCCTTTTTAAAAAAAATTTAATTTTGCCATTCTAAATTATTTGCTATAAAAAGCTTTAGGCTAGGATGATATATAGTTGAAAAATTAAAAAAAAAAAAGAAAATTTAAGTCACCCACAATCCCACTATCTGATAATCACTACTGTTAACCACGATATATATGCTCCCTTTATATATAAATATTAGTTTATAAACATTTTAACACAATCATATATTTTGTAGCTTATTTCTATCCTCACTATAAACGTTCAGAAAATTATTTTTATGTCATTGATTTGATGTATGAAATTGCATGACCATCTGTAGCTTCTACAATCAAATTTTTTGGATGATTTGAGTAATTAAAATTATTTTTGTACTATATAGTTATGAGTATACTAAATATAAATCTAAATATTTTTTAAAAGACAGTCTTAAAAATGATACTGTCAAAACAAAAGTTGGACACATTTTGAGACCCCTGCAAATTGGTCTCCACAAACTTGACTTCTAGCCATTCCCAGCACCAAAAATTTGCCTGACTTTTTTCTTATGAATTGGACTGAAAAGTGGTTATTCCTCACTCTGTTTTTGGTTCACAGTTCATAGATACAAGAACTGTTCCTATTACAGCAATATTCATATAATTCATACTCATACATTATTCTATTGTATGGATAGCCCACATTTTATCATTTTCTCTTTCGATGCACATAAATGTACATCTGAAGATGGCGCCCAAGATTTTGTCTATTACAAATGAAGTTTTTATTAACATTCTTATCCTTATTCATGTCTTTGCATGGGCACATGTTGTTATTTCTTTGGGGTAGATATATGAAGTAGAATGGCTGGGTAATATGGAAGGTGAACTTTTAACTTTTTAAGAAGCTACCAAATTGTCCAACATGATTGCACATTAACATTCCCAATAAAGCATATAAGAGTTACAGTTACTCTACATCCCCATCAACATTTGGTAAGTCAATGCTCTTATTTTAGGTGTGTAGTGGTATTTCATTGTGGTTTTAACTTGCTTAATTTCCCATGGACTAATTATGTTAATCATTTTTTCTGTGTGTGTGTTTGTCATCTTGCAAGTTTTGTCTTTTTCCTGACCCTTTGTTACCTTTCTCTATATTCCACTTACAGTGAAATCATCTGATATTTCTTTTTCCTTCTGACTTACTTTGCTTAACAAAATCCCTTCCAGTTCCATCCATGTTGCTGCAAATGGCATGGCATGATATCTTCACTGCTTGCTTTATTGTTTTTCATTTCTTTTGAGAAATTTTGTGTTACGGATACCAAATCCTTTATTAGCTAAGTGTTTCATAAACATTTTATTCCAGCCCATGGCATGAATTTTCATTTTGATAAGTTTTCTAAAAAACTGGAGTTATTCATTTTGATGGAGTCAACTTTATCAATCTTGAACTCTCTCTTTAAAACAAATTAGATTTTATAGTTTCTAGATTTTAAAACAGTGTCTGTAAATACGAAATCTTCACCAAGAACAATAGCAACTTTCACAAAAAACTGGTGGGAGCAGAAGCTGGTGGTAAAGCCACTTAGAAAGACAAATGACATTCCTGAGCATTTGTATGTTAAACATTTGTACACATGCCTCACCTCTGTCAGGGTGACCAGATAGTCAATGTGAATTAAAAACCCTAGAGAAATTCTATGTTCAGGAAACATGGAAAATAACGCTCATAGCAATGTTGTTCGCGGTAGCAAAAAAAATAAACAAAACAAAACACACCCACACACACACACAAAACCCCCCCAAAAACCCAAGGAGAAACGCTGAATTGTTAAAATGAATAAATCATGTTGTATTCATACAGCAGAGGCAGGGTCATCATCTTGCTCAGTTTTGGGCTCCAGTCACATTGTTAGCACCTTTCAGAGAAATCACAATATTACAGGTGTCTTCCGGAGGTTGAACAAATGTGTGCAGAATATCATATATTAGGGAAAATGAGATCATTTTCTCCTGGTCACAGCTACTAGCATAAACACAATGCTGACCCAAAATAATAAGCAGCAATTGCATTTGTTTTAAACAATAAAATGACCATTGTGCTTATATATATATAAACATATATAAATATACATACAAACACACATAAAAATTTATACAAACACACATAAATAAATATAAACATATGTACATATATAAACATATTTTTAGTAAAGGTATGGAGAAAAACAAAAGAATTATTAATACAAAATGTAGGATAATATTTAAGATAGCATTAAATCCAGGGCAGAGAAAAAATATGATAAAGTTAACAGGAAGCTTCAAAGTTATTCATGATTCTCCATTTCTTAAGCTAGGTAATGGATTAGATGTTTATTCAATTTGCTATTAACCTGTTAACCTTTGAATATATATATATATATATTCATGTATATATGTGTATATATGTATATATATCCTTTGTTTTATGCTGATATGTTTCACAATACAAAGAAATTTAGCAAACAAATGGAGAAATTATGGCATAATATGATTTGATAAGAACTACAGTCAGCTAAGAGACATAACATTAAATGTTATAAATTTAATAATCAAGCTAAATGTAACTTTCCTATTAAAAGACAAAAATCTTTGAGATTGGAGATGAAAAACTGTTTTGCCAAATATAGTTTTTCAATTAGCATATTTCAAACTAAATGAAAAAAATGAACAAAGATATAGCTGGAAAATTAAAACAAAAGGACAGCAGAAGTCAAGCTATTAATATCAGAAAAAGTAAACTTGAAGAAAATGAGTTTAAATGGAAAAGTGCTGTCATTTGATGGAGAAAAAGGTATGACTCATGGTGGAGGTAAAATTCAAGCTTTAATGTGCCCCTTCTGATACTGAACAGAAAAACATAGAAAAAAGATAAATGAAATAAATCACAAAAATTTGACTTAAACTCTCAGCATTACACTGAATTTTACATTAAAACCCATACTGTACATCTTCACACCTCTGAAATTGAAACTGTCTTATGTAATTGTCATTGTTTATACAGTGCTTGTATTTTGTCACATTGATACTTTTTTCACTTCAGTTTGGTCCTCTATGGGTTGAGGATTGTCATAAAGTTTTAAAGGTTATATTAGTATTTGACACTGAAAAAAATCATTGTGAACACTAAAAATTATTGAAGTGAAACAGTGATATTGGAGCATCAAGGACTGAGGTTTGGAGGAATGAGTGAGCTTCCCTGTCGTCTTGCAAAGCAATGACTGTGATTCTTAGAACATAAGAAAGGACACGAGAAGCAACTGGGTTGCAGTATTATCACCCACACGCAACATGAAAACTTGCAGAAAGGAAATTTAGGCTCACATTTGGTAGTGTTTGGTGAGGCACATATAGCAGAGTTCTTAATGACACAATAAACAGTACAGTGATTAAAAAAATATCTATAGTTTCAAGTCCCAAGACAAGAGTCTGACTCTGAATATGTTTTAAGTGTACTTTGTAATTTATTTTATAAATATTTAATTTTGCATGTGGACAAGAATATGATATAATAAAGACATGTACAAATATATCCAAAAGAACTCTTTTCATATCATAAAATAAAAATTCAAGTAAGAGAGAGAATTGTACCATAAATTCAACTGGCAGAGCCTTTATTTCCTTAGTGATACATGAAATAATAATGCATTTTAGAGCTGAGGTCAACTTAGCATTAATGAAGTGCACTGCAATTTGATCATTTCTTCCTTTTGTATCTAACTGTCAAGAATGCATGCACACCAACTGATCATCTACAGTTCAACTTTTCTCTGTTTTTATATCCTTAAATCCTGACAGAGTTACAGAATTTTTCCTCCTAGTCCTTCTATTGATTTTTTTGGCAATAATGTTTTAAACTTCACAAACATATCTTTTTGCCTTTTGATTATTCCTTTTTTTTTTTTTTTTAGATAAATCTGTGTGTCTGCATGTGATTTTGTGCACACGAGCTTGTGAATACTTTCCTGGATTTGCTAAAAATACAACTTGGAATATTTGTGTACTTCGTCAGTCTGCCTGCTCTGCTCTCCCCTCTGGCTCTGGTGAATTCTCTCACCCTCGCGTGCTTCTGACTATACCCAGTGCTTGTATAAAAATAAATAAATAAATTAAAATAATTAAAATTCCTTGAACATTTTTAGCACTGCTCCCTCAAGCACCTGCTGTTCCCTCAGCATCTGCAGCTTGTCTGGAGGCTGTGCCCCCCACCAGAACCCCAACATTCTCCTTTATGGATGATTCTCCCTTATGAATGCCACGCTAAGTATCTTTCCAACTCGACTGATCCATCAATATCCTGCCATAGGCAACATGACTTCCGAAGCCAACCCAAACCTCCACTCCTATTTTCATTGGTGTATTTCTTTTTTTTCTCCATCCACACAGTCACTAAAACAGG